AACTTAGTAAATATGCGTTTAATTGAGAAAATAAGCTCGATCTGTGATCACTCATATATTTGACCAAAAATCCATTTTTATTAAGAAAAACACAAATCTTAAATCGTTAATAACTTCGTAAATATGCGTTTAATTGAGAAAATAAGCTCGATTTGTGATCACTCGTATATTTCACCAAAAATCGATTTTTATTAAGAAAACTCAACAAATCTTAAATCGTTAATAACTTCGTAAATATGCGTTTAATTGAGAAAATAAGCTCGATTTGTGATCACTCGTATATTTCACCAAAAATCGATTTTTATTAAGAAAAACTCAAAAAATCTTAATCGTTAATAACTTCGTAAATATGCGTTTAATTGAGAAAATAAGCTCGATCTGTGATCACTCGTATATTTTACCAAAAATCGATTTTTATTAAGAAAATCTAAAAAAATCATAAATCGTTAATAACTTCGTAAATATCCGTTTAATTGAGAAAATAAGCTCAATCTAAATATGCGTTTAATTGAGAAAATAAGCTCGATCTGTGATCACTCGTATATTTAACCAAAAATCGATTTTTATTAAGAAAATCTAAAAAAATCTTAAATCGTTAATAACTTCGTAAATATGCGTTTAATTGAGAAAATAAGCTCGATCTGTGATCACTCGTATATTTGACCAAAAACCGATTTTTACAAAGAAAATCTAAAAAAATCTTAAATTGTTAATAACTTCGTAAATATGCGTTTAATTGAGAAAATAAGCTCGATCTGTGATCACTCGTATATTTCACCAAAAATCGATATTCACTAACAAAATCTAAAAACATCTTAAATCGTTAATAACTTCGTAAATATGCATTTCATTGAGAAAATAAGCTCGATTTGTGATCACTCGTATATTTGACCAAAAACCGATTTTTACTAAGAAAATCTAAAAAAATCTTAAATCGTTAATAACTTCGCAAATATGCGTTTAATTGAGAAAATAAGCTCGATCTGTGATCACTCGTATATTTGACCAAAAATCGATTTTTATTAAGAAAATCTAAAAAAATCTTAAATCGTTAATAACTTCGTAAATATGCGTTTAATTGAGAAAATAAGCTCGATCTGTGATCACTCGTATATTTCACCAAAAATCGATTTTTACTAAGAAAATCTTAAATCGTTAATAGCTTAGTAAATATGCGATTAATTGAGAAAATAAGCTCGATCTGTGATCACTCGTATATTTCACCAAAAATCAATTTTTATTAAGAAAATCTAAAAAAATCTTAAATCGTTAATAACTTCGTAAATATGCGTTTAATTGAGAAAATAAGCTCGATTTGTGATCACTCGTATATTTCACCAAAAATCGATTTTTATTAAGAAAAACTCAAAAAATCTTAATCGTTAATAACTTCGTAAATATGCGTTTAATTGAGAAAATAAGCTCGGTTTGTGATTGTGATTTGTGATTGTGATAAGAAAATCTTAAATCGTTAATAACTTCGTAAATATGATCACTCGTATATTTGACCAAAAATCGATTTTTATTAAGAAAATCTAAAAAAATCTTAAATCGTTAATAACTTCGTAAATATGCGTTTAATTGAGAAAATAAGCTCGATCTGTGATCACTCGTATATTTCACCAAAAATCGATTTTTACTAAGAAAATCTTAAATCGTTAATAGCTTAGTAAATATGCGATTAATTGAGAAAATAAGCTCGATCTGTGATCACTCGTATATTTCACCAAAAATCAATTTTTATTAAGAAAATCTAAAAAAATCTTAAATCGTTAATAACTTCGTAAATATGCGTTTAATTGAGAAAATAAGCTCGATTTGTGATCACTCGTATATTTCACCAAAAATCGATTTTTATTAAGAAAAACTCAAAAAATCTTAATCGTTAATAACTTCGTAAATATGCGTTTAATTGAGAAAATAAGCTCGGTTTGTGATTGTGATTTGTGATTTTTATTAAGAAAATCTTAAATCGTTAATAACTTCGTAAATATGATCACTCGTATATTTGACCAAAAATCGATTTTTATTAAGAAAATCTAAAAAAATCTTAAATCGTTAATAACTTCGTAAATATGCGTTTAATTGAGAAAATAAGCTCGATTTGTGATCACTCGTATATTTCACCAAAAATCGATTTTATTAAGAAAAACTCAAAAAATCTTAATCGTTAATAACTTCGTAAATATGCGTTTAATTGAGAAAATAAGCTCGATTTGTGATTGTGATTTGTGATTTTTATTAAGAAAATCTTAAATCGTTAATAACTTCGTAAATATGATCACTCGTATATTTGACCAAAAATCGATTTTTATTAAGAAAATCTAAAAAAATCTTAAATCGTTAATAACTTTGTAAATATGCGTTTAATTGAGAAAATAAGCTCGATTTGTGATCACTCGTATATATGACCAAAAATCGATTTTTATTAAGCAAAACTAAAAAAATCTTAAATCGTTAATAACTTCGTAAATATGCGTTTAATTAAGAAAATAAGCTCGATTTGTGATCACTCGTATATTTCACCAAAAATCGATTTTTACTAAAAAAAATCTAAAAAAATCTTAAATCGTTAATAACTTCGTAAATATGCGTTTAATTGAGAAAATAAGCTCGATTTGTGATCACTCATATATTTCACCAAAAATCGATTTTTACTAAAAAAAATCTTAAATCGTTAATAACTTCGTAAATATGCATTTAATTGAGAAAATAAGTTCGATTTGTGATCATTCGTATATTCGACCAAAAATCGATTTTTATTAAGAAAAACTCAAAAAATCGTTAATAACTTCGTAAATATGCGTTTAATTGAGAAAATAAGCTCGATTTGTGATCACTCATATATTTGACCAAAAATCGATTTTTACTAAGAAAATCTAAAAAAATCTTATATCGTTAATAACTTCGTAAATATGCGTTTAATTGAGAAAATAAGCTCGATTTGTGATCACTCGTATATTTCACCAAAAATCGATTTTTATTAAGAAAAACTCAAAAAATCTTAAATCGTTAATAACTTCGTAAATATGCGTTTAATTGAGAAAGTAAGCTCAATTTGTGATCACTCGTATATTTGACCAAAAATCGATTTTTACTAAGAAAATCTAAAAAAATCTTAAATCGTTAATAACTTCGTAAATATGCATTTAATTGAGAAAATAAGCTCGATCTGTGATCACTCGTATATTTCACCAAAAATCGATTTTCACTAAGAAAACTTAAAAAATCTTTAATCGTTAATAACTTCGTAAATATGCGTTTAATTGAGAAAATAAGCTCGATTTGTGATCACTCGTATATTTGACCAAAAATCGATTTCCACTAAGAAAATCTTAAAAAATCTTAAATCGTTAATAACTCGTAAATATGCGTTTAATTGAGAAAATAAGCTTCATTTGTGACCACTCGTATATTTGACCAAAAATCGATTTTCACTAAGAAAAACTCAAAAAATCTTATCGTTAATAACTTCGTAAATACATATGCATTTAATTGAGAAAATAAGCTTCAAATCATAAATCGTTAATAACTTCGTAAATATGCATTTAATTGAGAAAATAAGCTTCATTTGTAAGAAAAACTCAAAAAATCTTAAATCGTTAATAACTTCGTAAATATGAGTTTAATTGAGAAAATAAGCTTAATTTGTGATCACTCGTACATTTGACCGAAAATCGATTTTCACTAAGAAAATCTAAAAAATCTTAAATCGTTAATAACTTCGTAAATATACGTTTAATTAAGAAAATAAGCTTCATTTGTGATCACTCGTATATTTGACCAAAAATCGATTTTTACCAAGTAAAACTCAAAAAATCTTAAATCATTAATAATTTACTAAATATGCGTTTAATTGAGAAAATATGTTCGATTTGTGAGCACTTGTTTTTTTACTAAGAAAAACTCAAAAAAACTTAAATTGTTAATAACTTTGGAAATATGCATTTGAGAAATAAACCAAAAATCAAATTTGAAAATTGAGATAATATTATAATAATATTAATTATCTTCACGAAAATCAAGAAACCAATCCCACCATGCACTTTTTACATTTTATTATTTAGGCTTCTAAAAATATAGGTATGTAGTTTTTGCAACACCGACTAGGTATTAATAATATAAAAAACCAGAAAAATCCAACAACAACCTTTTGTTTATTCTTTGTCACTTACCTTTTTTTCTTGTGTACGCCGCAGTGGCTGTGTTGATTTTATGTTTTCGTCCCGTTTGTGGGCGACCTGTTCTCTCTTTGAACGGAACTGTTCTAAAGCACTATTTGGATTCCACGTCAATCGGTTCGTCGCACCAGAACGACACAGACATGGAGTACTGCCATGGACGCGGAGGTCAACGACCAAGGATTGTTTAAACACAGCTACACCGTCTTTACACGTGTTGCTGCAGCAACAACAACAAAAAACAATTTCGTTCGGCCGATGCACGGCACACTTAGAGTGTGGCCTGGTCCTATGTATTGCCAATTTAAACCGAATCAAATCATGGGAATCGTGAAAATATAAAAAAACTTAACTTGTTTGTGTCGGTCTGTTCACTCACTACTTCTCACAAACTTGTTTACTTTAACTGTTATCGGCGAATTATCATCACTAACAAGACATTCAGTTTCAATAATATTCATTTTAGATGTATAGTTTTTTGCAATTTTTATTTTTACTTCATTAACTCTAATAATGGTGTGACAAATAACAGTAAAATTGTATATTTTCAATTAAAATTTATTTATTTTTATGTTTTGAAAATTTTAATAAGAAAACGAAGACTTTGCGTGTGATGTTTTTTATTTAATACAACACTGTATTGAACTAATATAATAATACAACCCTGCAACTAAAATGAACTTTGAATGAACTTTATACATGAAAATGTCACTAGTGGTCTCTTTCTAACAAAACACTAAATAGTGTTGCCCCATTTTTTCAACAAAGCAAAACAAATTGTAAAAACTACTTTAAACTAATAGTTCTGCTTATAAATTTATATTTTTTATATAATAGAATTATTGCATAACATTGTGAAATATTTTTTATTAAGAATTTTTCAGCAGAAATACATTTTTTAAAGCATTTTTATAAGTAATTTCATCAAACATCTGGCAGCATTTGGTAAAAGTTAAAAGAAAAAGTGGGATAATTCATCGCGGTTTTTAATAAAAGCGTTCATTCTCTAATCAGAAGTTGAATTAAAAAGACGTGAATAAAAAGCGCTAAAAAGCTAAGAAGAAAAAAACAAATAATTTGCAAAGAAAAAACTTAAAATTTAAAGAAAAGGTAAGTTTTTAGCAAGAAAAAAAAATAAAACAAAAAGTTTCTAGAAAAAAAATATATAAAAAGTGTTTTTGTGTGAATTACTTGAAAAACAAAAGTGGGTGCTCCGCTAAATGAGACTCCCATGGACATTTTTTTCTTTTCATAATTATACTGGATACACAAAAGCAACGACGACACAACTATGGTTGGCTGATCCAACTTTTAGATGTGAAAGACGTTAGCGGTGTGCAGTTGTGCACAAAAAAAATAAGTATTGTGATGTCTGACTATACTACTGCTGAACTGAATATTACAATTTCTTGATAAAGTAACAAAATAAAATCAAAATGGCGGATATGATTTTCGAGGAAAAATGGAAAATTTTTAAAAAAAAATAGTTTTTCCAGAAATTTTCCTTAAAAAAAAAAGAAATTTTATTTCTTTTGTAACAAGTTTAAAAAGTGCTTAAATATTGTGGTTGTTAAGAAAATTTGAAAAATTTTCATAATTTTGTGAAATATTTGATAATTTATTTTTCATAAAATAAATTATTGGTTTTTATTTTGTTAGTCAAGCTTATGGTTTCTTTTGCCATCACTTTTTCCCCATCTTTTTTTAATGTGCTTTTCTGTTTGGTAGTTCGTGTTTGTGCATGATTTTTTTTTTTATATTATTTGGCGGCTTGTCAATATGTGTGTGTATACGTGTTTTCGTTAATTTCTGTTGTGTGCTTATTATTCGCTGTCTTCTTCTATTTGCTGTAGAAGAAGAAGTGGAAAAAGAGATAGACACACATACACAAACATAAATTCGCGCGCGCAACACAATAATTTTTTTTTCATTTGTTTTTGTTGGTTAGCACAGCAATTCCTTTTTGTTTTTATCCACGATTTCTCCACAGTGTTGCATTTTAATTGATATTGTGGGAAAAAAATCAAAGTTTAATTGTGATGATTTTAAAATTTATTTGATTTCATTAGGATTTTGGCGCTCTTTTTTGAAGTAAAACATCAAAGTGTGTTTTTTACTAATGGTAGTGGATGGGAGACGACATTATGGGTTTGAATTTGTATATGCAATTGTTTGTAAATAAATATTTAATCATTTAAAAAATACGCAATTATTTAAAAATATTTAAATGACGTCATTTATTTTGTACTTATGCATATTTAAAAATCCATTACTCTTTAACATTACAAATATTTTGTAGTGATTCATTTTTATTCTTCTTAAGATGCACAATCCCCGATAGAAATGAGAAAAAAGTAGGCTGAAGCATAAAATGTCAAACTGAAATTTTAAAGTTTTTTAAAATTTTGTCCCTAATCGTATGTACCCAAATATGAAAAAGAATGTTCCATGTGGTATAGACTTTATTGATTTCTACAATTTATAAAATTCTACTGACTAGTCAATAGACTAGCCTATGAACTAATTATTAGATAAGTTAGTTGACTAATCAAGAGACAAGTCGCTAAACTAGTCAATAGACAATCTCAATAGAGAAGTCTATGGTCTTGTCTTTGGACTGGTCTATTGACTTTGGTAAAGTCTGGTCAAGTTAATAGACTAGTATGTGGACTAGACAATTGACTAGTTTAAACATTCGATAAATGTATGGTTTTGTCTGTGGACTTGTAAATAGATCAGTCTATGGACTCGTCCAATGACTTTTATTGTATATATTAGTCTATTGACTAAGCCAAAGACTTGTCTGTGAAATAGTCAAGTCTTTGGTTTAATCTGTGAACAGTCACTAGAATAGTATGTGAACAAGTCAATAGACTAGTATTAGGACTAGTCTATGTATAATCTACTACTTTATTGACTAGCCTATTGAATGATCTATAGACAAGTTTGTTGTTGTAACAGTTCTTTCCTGGGGAAAAACTTTCTGTTGAAACAGCTGTGGTTGACATTCTGTGAGCGAGTAAGACTCGTATCGTGCCGGAGCGAAAATCCAATCATGGTGGGAACGACAATATTGTGGAATATTCCGTTTAGTTTATGGACTCTTTTATTGACTAACCAATATGGTGATTATTCTATTGAATTGAATAGGGAAACTATTGTTGTTAGTACAATTTAGTTTAAACGATAACAGCTGATAAACAGATCAAAGGAGAATTAATACTGTGGGCCTTACTCCTAAAAATTTTTCATAAAAAAGTTCTATAAAACTTTGAAATGGAAAATTAAAAAAAAAAGTAATATTTAATTTATTTAGAATAATTTTGCTTTAAATTTGTAAAGAAATGTAAAATTTTTGGCGGGAAATGGTTAACAAAATATTTGTTGTAGTTTTTATCCAACAAAGTAAATTTATTTTCGTACCAAAAAAAAATTGACAAGAATTTTTAATTACGCGCCAAAAATACACATTGACATGTATCAATAACTGTTTACCTCCAAACCAGCAAGCCATCATCATCATTATAAATTTAGCTTAACTTAAGAAACAGCTGAAACCTTTTAATATAATTTGCCGCCTTAAAGATTTAGGTAAAAAAGTTAAACAATAGAATTTTGTAGACAAATAACTAGCAGATGTGTTTTTATAACAATTATTTCCAAAAAAATATATATATCACCCTCTCTTTTCCTCCTTCGATTATTAAGGCCTTTAGCCAATGGTAATTAACCCCGACTCTAGGTATTAAATGAAAAATGTAAAAATTAATATCATCTCGTAAGATTTGTAATATTACATCAGTTAGCTGCAAGCAGTTGAAGAGTGTAGTTACACGAAAAAAATATATATTTGTTGTTTTGTGTTAAAAAAAGTTAAAATATTTAAAAAAGTAAGAAAATTGTTTATTTGCAAAACTAAGTGAATTGGTGTTAGAATTAAAAATAAATCACTTTATAAAGTTGAAATTAAGGCGAAAAAGAGATTTTTGTAAATTTCAAAATATGACGAAAGAAAATATAAAATAATGAATGTGAATATATTTTAAAAAAGACCTTAAATTAAATATTCATTCCTTAGATGGACATAGAAACACTTAGAAATAAATATTTATTTTCAAAATTATTTAAAATCTTTCAAATCAAATTCTTAGAAAAGCAACTATAAACCAATGCTTGTTTTTTAAATCAAATTCATAAAAACAAAATGGCTGTTTAAGGGTTCAATTTACCTTGTTGTTGTTTTTCAAAGAAATGTCGGAAATGTTTACAAAGTAATGTGATTTGCTTTACAAAATTTGGGCGTAAAATTAATACTGCATTAAGGAAAAATTTGTCAATATATATTTTTTTTTAAATTGCAATTTTATAAACAATTTCTTATTTATAAGAAAGGTCACAAGTTTACTACTTATTGAAATGAGATAAGAATGTCATCATACTATATAATAACGAAAAAAACCACAAAGTTTCAAAAGACGCATTAACATAATGACGTAAACAACAACCATAAATGTGTTTTGATATTAAAACCTCTATTCCGAGGAGTTAAGATGAAGAACTTGAATTATATTTTAACAAATTAAAAATTTAATAAGTCTTTCTTTTATACTTTTTTTTTTTCTAGTTAAAAAATGGCCCGTACTAAGCAGACTGCTCGTAAATCCACTGGTGGTAAAGCCCCCCGTAAACAATTGGCTACCAAAGCTGCACGTAAATCAGCACCCTCTACCGGTGGTGTCAAGAAGCCCCATCGTTACCGTCCCGGTACCGTTGCTCTTCGTGAAATCCGTCGTTACCAGAAATCCACAGAATTGCTTATTCGCAAATTGCCTTTCCAACGTTTAGTGCGTGAAATTGCCCAGGATTTCAAGACCGATTTACGTTTCCAATCTGCTGCCATCGGTGCTTTGCAAGTAAGTGTTTTTGATCATCAATTGATAAATTTCGAATCTAAATTTGTAGTTAATATTCATTAGAGTTTGTAATATGAGATTTTCATAATAAAAATGAATGAAAATAGTGTTTCCACGACAATAAACCGAATTATACACGGCCAAACAATGAACAATTTCGAATATTCTACTTTTTGATTAATTACAAGTTTATTGTTGAGGGAACAAAGTGATGAATTAACTATTTAAATATTTTAAGTTCATTGGACTTAAAAGTTGAATTTTTTTAAATTGATATTGACGACAATAACAATGTGATAAGAAATGCAGTTCTTTCCATATTCTAGTTATTGATGGACAAAAGTCAATTTAAAAACTTTTTTCAATAAGATTTCTTGTTTGCTATTTATTTGCATTTATTTACAAAATTTTAATGTTTTATTGGTACAGTTATGCACAAAAATTAAACACGAAATTGTTGAAATCTTCTTTTAGGAAATAATTTCGAAATCTTTCAAATTACGTTTTTAAGAGCTTTTGCAATCTTAGTTCGACTGTAGGTTTATATCAATATATAAATTTGGCAGAATTATGTTTGAATATTCGGAATTATATAAATTCGAACTTATGTTCGAAAAATTTTAAAACCATTACCATAATTCCTAAATCTTGAAGGGTTCATACAATTCAAGTTGCATTCGAATTCGATATGTTACTTCTTTCCAATTCGAATTAAAAAAAAATTGAAAATAATTTAAAAATTTTAAATTGTTTTCAAATGTAGTTACAGAATATAAGCTTTCTAAGACATGTTCGAAAATTTGAAATTAAATTCGAACATAAGTTGGAAAAAATTTTAAAGCTGTTAAAATAATTTTTATATCATGAGGATCCCTAAAGTAATAATTTTAGTTTCATTTGAGACCAATTTTGAATATTTTTTATTTTTAAATTCGAAATTTTGATATTTTTATGAATTTTAATGTGTTTTCAAATGTAGTTGCAAAATATAAGCTTTTTAACATATGTTCGAAAATTCTAACTTAAGTTCTTTCCAATTTGAATTAAAAAAAAAATCGAAAATAATATCAAAATTTTAAATTGTTTTCAAATGTAGTTTCAGAATATAAGCTTTCTAAGACATGTTCGAAAATTTGAAATTAAATTCCAAAATTCGAACATAAGTTCGAAAAAATTTTAAAGCTGTTAAAATAATCTCTATATCACTAGGATTCCTAAAATAATAATTTTTGTTTCATTTGAAGACAATTTCTTAAATTTTTCAATTTCGAACTTTAAAATTTTTTAAATAATTTTGAAATTTTTATGAATTTTTTTAATATTTTCAAATGTAGTTGCAAAATATAAGGTTTTTAAGGTAATTTCGAAAATTCGAAATTAAAATCGAAAATTCGAACTTAAGTTCGAAAATATTTTTAAGCTGTTAAAATAATCTCTATATCTTGAGGATTCCTAAAATTACAAATTTAGTTTTATTTGAAAATTTTTTCAAATTCGAACTTAGAAATTTTGAAATCAATTTTAAAATTTTGTTTTTAAAAAGTTTGTTATTAAATTTTTTAAACTTTTTTACTAATTCCTTCTTTTATTCTTCTACTTTTTCTTCATATTTATAGGAAGCTTCTGAAGCCTACTTGGTGGGATTGTTCGAAGACACCAACTTGTGCGCTATTCACGCCAAGCGTGTCACCATTATGCCTAAAGACATTCAGTTGGCCCGTCGTATTCGCGGTGAACGTGCTTAAGCGCTGATTGTTTTTGCATATTTACACATAAATATAATTATACAACAATTTATATTATATTATCTTTTTAAAAAAACAACAACAACAAAACTACACAATTCTTACATATTCTCTCGTTCTCTAATTATTTAAATTTCAAAACTGAAATATTAAAATTATAAAAGAAAAATTTTTAACAACAACCACAAAAAAAATAATACATATAAATTTTATTAATAAACAAAAATATTATAAATAATATAAATACAAAATACATAAATATGTAATCATAAACAATAGTAATTATATATATATAAAAAAAAGAAAACTTAATATAAGTCCAAGAATTAATAGCATTCAGCTCAAACCACCACCACCACCCCCTTAACTTTAAAATCATAGTTAATCATATTAATAACATCAACAAACAGTAAAAAAAAAGCTGCTAACACATTTTTTTCAAAATCTGTAAATTCTTTATTAGATTATTAAGAAATTTATATAAAATCAAAAAAAAAACTTGCTCTATAATTTAAATTAAATTAAACAGAGTTTTATTATAAAAAAAAAACAACAAAAAAATATATGAAAATAAAAGACATTTTCGTTTTAAAATAAAAATTTTTAACACTATACTGTTTTATTTTAAATTGTGGAGGATTTTTTTTTTTTCTTTTTCAATATGAAAAATTTCTTAAGAATACTTTTAAAGGATTTTAAAGTGTTGGCAGTTTTATTTAAGATTTAACTGGTTTTTAATTAACCTTTTTTTCTCTTAAATTATGTAGCAAAAATATAAAGAATTAAAAAACCTACTACTACTACAGCAACAACATGTAGTTATTAAGTAAAAATTATAAAGTGGTTTTTGGTTTTTCAACATTTTTAAAGGGTTTTGCTTTTAATTATAAACTTTAGCTTAGTGGCATAGAAGTTTTTTAACTAAATGTTAAAATTACAAAATTAAAGCTTTTATCATAATAAGTAGTATTTTTAGTAATTAGGGTTTTTTTGAAATAAACAATTCAAAAAAGTCAACTTTAAGCGAAGTTTTTATATAAAACTTTGTTTAAACTTCGAGTTTTTTAAAAAATTGTTTATAAAAAAAGAAAACTTAAAGGTTTAATTTAAAGTTAATTTTGAAAGATTGAAAATTTTGTAATATTTTCTTTTAGTTTTTAAAAGTTTTATAAGCTAAATTTTAAATTTAAAAACTTTAACTTTTAAATCTATAACAACTTATTGAAAAACCTCCCCTTTTTTAAATAATTTTTACTTTTTTTTATTTTATTATTATATGCTTTTTTTATAACTTATTTAACCTTTTATATATACGGATTTTTTTTTTTCATAATTTTATTATATATTTATCACTTTTTTTTGAATTAAACTTTTATTTATGGGAATTTTTTTTTTTACTTTTTTATAAAATTTGTTATTTAAAGTTAAGTGTTAGTTTAGTTTACTTTCTTAAGAAAAGGTTTTAATTAACTTTAAAACAAAATTTAAAATTTTATAAAACTTTGTTAAAAAAAACTTTGTTTTGTAAAATTTTTTATATCAATTTTGTTCCAGCTTTTAAAAAATTTGTAAAAATTTAACGTTTTCTTAGAATTATTATACAAATTTATAAAACTAACAATTTATTTAACACGAACTTAAAAATAATTTCTTATTTATTCACTTTCTTAAAGAAATGTTGAATATTTAAGAAATTTAGAAAAACTTCCTGCTAAATAAATAGAAAAAGTTAGAAAAAAGAACTTTACATCAAGGAGAAAACGTTAGAATAATAAAAGAATTGTTTTATAAAACCACAACTCATGTAAAAAACCTGTAATTTTTAAAGTAAACTTAAACTAAAACAATTTTATAAAATTAACCAATAAGGGAAATATTAATTATTTTTATAAAATTTCTTTAAATAACAAAAACCAAATAATCACATTTTTTTATTATTATTCTTATAATTATTATAAACTTATATAAAAATATTGGATATGGTAGTTTTATTTGTATTATTAATTCTCACATTTATAGCTCAATTTATACCACAATTCCCTTAAACATTAATTATTTTTTTTATTTACCACTTATTTTAAAAAATTTAAAACAAAACATTTAATCTCTTTATATATATAACAATATTAAACAAAACAAAAAACAATATAATTATAATTATCTCTATATATATATATTATAAATTTTAAAAAAATATGTATTTTTAAGGCTTAAAATTTAAGGGTATCAATTATTATTACATATAACTACATTACAGATTTCCGAAGTATAAACAAAAACCATAAGATTTATAAATTTATTTAAATACATCTGGGCTAAATGAAAACATTAAGATCTCTGGTTTTCGCCGCCTAAAAGTACTTTGGAACTTTTAGTGTTGTTTAGCCAAACAACAGCAAAAGGATGTTTTATTTAAATTTTATAAAATCTATAAGAATTAGTCATAAGTATTTAATATATAAGTATATAAATGTCTCTTACTTAGTGCTGCATTAACAGAGCTTGCTCGCACGTCAACAGAAAAAAATTCTAAGATTTTTATCTTATAACAATTATTAACATACATTTTTTTTAATACAATTTTTTTATTATTATTAATATGATTTTTTTTGCATTACTCTTCTTTATTATTAATCTTACTTTTTTTATATATATAACATATTATTACCTTTATTATACCACAACTTATAAAATAATCATTATATTATATAACTTAATTATTACATTATAATTATCCCTAACCTCCTAACAATTCTTTATAACTTATTTTATTTACTACTTTTCTAGTATATAAAATATTTTATTAAGAGTTGTTGTTTTTAATAATTTTTTTTTATTTGATTACAATCAATTTATATTTTTCTTTCATATTTTTGTGAATTATTTTATCTCAATTTATATAATTATAATATAAAAAAAAATAATCATAATTTTATAATAATTGCAACAAAAAAGTAACAAAAACAAAAGAATATGTAGTTTACAAACCTGTGTATTCGTCAAAAAGTAAATGTTAAATAAACATCAAAAACATCATCTAGCATAGGCTTTCAAGAAAAGCCAAAAAACAAAAAAAACTAAAAATGTGTTTTCAATTTCAATCGAAGCATTATTTTAGGTTAGATGCCACGCCAGCAGAAGAGGCAGTAACAGAAAAAGTACAGTTGTTGACAAAAGGTACTTGTAGCTAAATATCAAATGCTACTTTTTGTACAATGTTTTACAAAGCATTATGTAGTAGTTGAGAATGGGCTTAGATACAATACATTAGTATTCTATTCACATACTGTTCCGTTCATGATTATTGGATTACGTTAATTTATATTCTATTTTTTAATTCAAATTCCTTACAGTTACTTTTGACTGGTCTATACTATAGTCTGTAGACTGATCGTTGCAATAAACTATTGTAAAGTCTTCACTATAGACTATTAAAAGCTACATATCAGTCTATAGTCATGACTATAGATCAGTCTACAATCTATACTATATATTTGTATATAGATCAGACTATAGATCGTCTTTATATCGGACTTTGAAGCAGTCTATAGTCCAGACTACTATACATCAATCTATAGCTCGGACTCTGTATATGAGTATATAGTTCGGACAATAGATCAGTCTATAGTCCAGACTATAGATTAGTCTATAGTCTCGACTATAGATTAGTCTATAGTCTCGACTATAGATTAGTCTATAGTCCAGACCATAGTTTAGTCTATCGTCCCAGACTATAGATTAGTCTATAGTCCAGACTATAGATTAGTCTATAGTCCAGACTATAGATTAGTCTATAGTCCAGACTATAGATTAGTCTATAGTCCAGACTATAGATTAGTCTATAGTCCAGACTATAGATTAGTCTATAGTCTCGACTATAGATTAGTCTATAGTCTCGACTATAGATTAGTCTATAGTCCAGACCATAGTTTAGTCTATCGTCCAGACTATAGATTAGTCTATAGTCCAGACTATAGATTAGTCTATAGTCCAGACTATAGATTAGTCTATAGTCCAGACTATAGATTAGTCTATAGTCCAGACTATAGATTAGTCTATAGTCCAGACTATAGATTAGTCTATAGTCCAGACTATAGACTAGTCTATAGTCCAAACTATAGATCAGTATATAGTCCAGACTATAGATTAGTCTATAGTCCAGACTATAGACTAGTCTATAGTCCAAACTATAGATCAGTATATAGTCCAGACTATAGATCACTGTATAGTACAGACTGTAGGGCAGTCTATAGTGCAGACAATAGGTAAGTATAGTCCAGACTATAGATCAGTTTATAGTCCAGACTTATAGATCATTCTATAGTTCACACTATAGATCAGTCTAAAGTCCAGACTATTGATCAGTCTATAGTCCAGACTATAGATCAGTCTATAGTCCAAAATATAGATCAGTCTATGTGCAGACTATAGATCAGTCTGTTTTGTAGACTATAGATCTGTCTATAGTGCAGAATATAGATCAGTCTATAGAGCAGACTATAGATCAGTCTATAGTCCAGACTATTGATCAGTCTACAGTGTAGACAATAGATCAGTCTATAGAGCAGTCTATCAGTATAAAATCCTTGCTATAGATCAATCTGTAGTACAGAATATACATAGATCAGCCCATAGTTCATACCATAGATCAGTCTATAGTCCAGACTTTAGATCAGTCTGCAGCCCATTCAGTATAGATCTAGTTCAGACTAGAAAATGTTAAAAACATCTCTTTTTGTTAAACCCTGTACATGCTTTTCTACTAAAGTTAGACAAACTTAAAAAAGCTTATACTAAATTAAAGCTTTACTAATGAAGTCCACATACGACACTAATTAAAAACTTTGCATAAATAACTATGAACGTATAAAACAATAGAGAGATACGGAAAAACATTTCAGTACAATTACTAAACTGAAAACAAACAGCTGCATTTGTCAAATAGTTAGACCGACCGTCCACCAACAATAAAACATCAAAGATGTATGAGGACATGAAAAATAAAACTATTTTAGTTACAGGTGCTGGAGCAGGTAAGTAAACAAATACACATTACTTAATCTCTATTACCGCTAATCTAAATGCCATAAACTGATTAAAAATGTTTATCATCTCGAAAAAAAAGGCATTGGTAATGCTTTGTGTAAACAATTAGCCGAGGCAGGGGCAAATGTTATCGCTGTAGCGCGATCAGCCGAACAGTTGAAAGAGTTAAAAACACAACAACCAACCATACAAACATTACAAATCGATCTAAAAGATTGGCAACAAGTGCGTCAACAATTACAAAG